TTAAGAGAAAAAAATTGGCACTGTGGATTAGGAAACAAAATCCAACAATATGCTATATACAAGAAACACATTTAACACATAAAGTAAATAACCTGTCAGTTATTGTACTCAATGTAAATCTAACTGTAGTGAGGAGTTCTTGCTCAGAAAAGGGACATCAGTAGTAAAAATGGTGAAATTTAAATTTAAATTTAAAAATGGTGAAATTTCACTAATTTGTAAGTATTATCAAGTTAATTTTCTGTTTTTGATAACAGTACCAAAGGCATGTAAGATACTAATTTCAGGGCAAGTTGCTGAAGGGGATACAGTAACACTGAACTGTCTTGTAACCTTTTTGTTATTCTAATTTTTTTTAATATAAAACAAACAAAAAAAAGACACAAACTTGCAGATTGGATCCAAAAGCAAGACCTAACTATATGGTTCCTCACAATATATATCTTAGCCAATAAATAAATAAATAAAAATAAAAAAACTTTGAAAAGGAAAGGATAGAAGATGATACCCCATGCAACCTGTACCTGAAAGCAAGCAGGAACAGCCACTCTAATTTGAGATAAAGTAGACGTCAGCCAAAACCAATCAGAAGAGACAAAGAAGTCACTACATATTTATTAAGGGAAGAATTCAATTGTAAGAAATGACAATTATAAATGTTTATGAACTAAACACCAGCATACCCATTTTCATAAAACAAAAACTTCCTGACAAAAGGATAAATAGATACTAGTATAATCATAATGGAAGACTTCAACCCCACAATCCAAAGGTGAACCAAGCAAAAACTTAACAAAAAAGTCAGAGTTAAATAATACCATTAAACAAATACATGTATTTCTACAAAGTACTTCACCCAACAAAAGCAGAACACATATTCTTTTTGGTAACCAACAGAACCTTCTCCAAAATAGATCATATCTTAGGCCATAAAAATATGTTTAAATACAGATGAACTGAAATATTTACTTGTATCTTACCAAATTACAAAAGGATGAAACTAGAAATTAAGTGCAAAAAACTTCCACAGAAACTAGGGAAACACAGAAATTAAGCAATATATTTCTGTATAATCAATAAAATTAAGGAATAAATTAAAAAGTCCCCAGAATTAAATGACAGTGGCAGTACAATGTCAAAATCTGAAAGCAGTTCTACAGCTGTGTCTACACTAGAAAATAGAGCATTACCAGATAAATAATCCAATGATGCATCTCAATGTCCTAGAAAAAAAGAATAGGAACCCAAATAGAAAAATGTAGAAATTACAAAGATCAGAATAGAAATCAATGAAATTGAGGGTTAAAAATATACAAAGGATCAATGAATCAGAGTAGGTTCTTTAAAAGGATAATTAATGTGTAAGTATTCAGATATGTAAGTAGGCCCTTAGCCAATCTTACCACCAAAAACAAAGAAACAAAAACAAAATCAAAGCTAAAATAAACACAAAAGGACCCATATTAATGCCATGAGAAATGAAAGGGGGAAAAATCACAACAGACAGTACTGAGACCTAGAAGATTGCAAAACCTTATTTAAAAAGATATATTCCAGTAAGTTGGAGACTCTAGAAGAAAGCAGTAAATTTCTAGATATATGTATGTGACATAAAATACTAAATAAAAGATATATAAACACCCTGATCATCCTGATTACACCAATTACAAGCAATGAAATCAAAGTGATGATAAACATTCTCATAAGAAAAGCCCAGTTCTCAATAGATTCACCACTAAATTTTACCAGAACTTGAGAGAATTAACAACGCTTCAACACTTCTCAAACTTACAGAAAAGAACAGTGCCAAACCTATTTACTGAAGCCTTTATTACCCTGATACCAAATTGAACAAGGACTCAACAAAAAAGAGAAAATATGCCAATATCCTTAATGTACTAAAAAAACTTAACAAGATATCTGCAAACAAAATGCAAGAAATGATTAAACACATCATATATCATAACCAAGTAGGCTTCATTCCAAGGAAGCAAGGATGGTACAACATATGTAAAACAATAACTGTAATACACCTTTTACACAAAGATAAAAAATCACCAATAGATGCAAATAAAAAAAAACTGACAAAAATCTAACACTCATGATAAAATATTTGAAGGACTTTACCTCCAACTGATTAAAAAACACTCATGAAAAACTTCAGCCAACATCTCATCAAATGGGGAAAAACTGACAACAGTCCTACTAAAGTCAGGAACAAGACAAGTATATCTACTCCCACCATTCCTGTTCAACACAATACTAAAATCTTTGGCCAGAACAATCAGGAAAGAGACAAAAAAAAGAAAAGGGATATAAATAGGAAAAGAAAAAAATTAGCTACCATTATTTGTAGATGATATGATCCTTTAAACAAAGAACGTAAAACACTTCACCAGCATTCTCTTAGAACTAATAAATTCAGCAATGTGGCAGAATACAAAATCAACGGCACACCAATAATGAGCTCGCTGGGAGAAAAAAACCAAGAAAACAATCCCATTCATAGTTTTCTGTAATAAAAACTAGAGTACTCTTTTAAAGAGATTAAAGAAGACATAAGAAAAAAAAGACATTACAAAATGGAAAGATATCCTTTGTTCTTGCAAAATGAGTACTGTTAAAATGACCATATCATCAAAAATGATATACAGATTTAGTATGATTCTAATGAAAATATCAACAGTATTCTTCACAGAACTACAAGAAACAAATTGAACCAAAAGAAATCCAGAATAATTAAAGCAATAATGCACAAAAAGAGTACAATGGGAGGCATTATAATGCCAGATTTCAAGTTACATTAAAAGCTCCTGCAGTGAAAAAAAGCACAAAACATGGCACTGGTACAAAAATATAT